CCCATTTTTAGTGGATAATATGGGTGGTTAACTGTTTTCTTTTAACCATTTTGCCACCCCTAGCTCTCACTATGGCAAATAAGAAACAATAGCATCAGGATGGTTAATTTCACTCTAAAAAATGAGATAATAAACAACTGAAAATTCTTGATGCTCCATACAAAGTGACAGATAAAGCAAATAGATACTATCTGATGATTCATTAAGTATCTTTTGTGTGAGTCACATGCTTCCAATCAAAATATTAGTGCCCTTTGGTTGTAAAAGTGAGAAAATAGAATGACCGAGAAAGATTGCAACACTGGAAGAAGTTTTTGTGAGGCTTAAGTGAAGTTGCAAAATCCCAACTTTCTAAGAACATGAGATATTTAAATGCTAAAGAAAAATAGAAAAACACTGCGGTTTTAGGGGTTTTATTGGAAATATCCGAATCCCAACCAAATAATTGAAGATTTTAAATTCTCCACCTGAAACCAAACCAAAAAATATAACGGAACAATCAAATCACATAATCAAAATTTTCGTCGGTTTGGTTATTTATTATGCCCACACCTACCTTGGAGTGAATCTAGGTGTTGTGTGGCTGAAGTAGTTGATGGCCTTTTTTCATTATATCTCTCTTTTGAGGTAGTCGACTCAGTGGATAAATCTGTGATATTTCGAGAGAGACAGGCAGTACATATCTGTATTAAGTGGTTACATCTCAAGTTAACTGTACATGATTTTCTTTATTTCATGTGTGCTGTTTCTCTAACAGAACATTGGGTGTGTGCAGAGAAAGCTCGCATTGAGGCAGAACTTAAAGCTGCGGAAGTTGCCTCTCGAAGGAAGGCAGAGGCTGATTTAAAGATGCAGCGGGAGAGACAACGGGAAGCAGCCCGGATTGCTCTACAGAAGGTTGACAGTTACTTTTGAAGCTATCCCTCCTCCCCTCTGCCCCCAACCCACTCTTACACATCCCTCCCCAACCGCCAATACTCCCTCTTTCCAGAATTGAAAAAAAGTAAGGAAGAAGCGAGAGTAGAAATAACAAATGAAGAAAATATATCCCCGTACAGATTATAATAACTGAATTCCTTTTCTTTATCCCAATTGTAGTCCTCAAGTAAAAAATTTTTTTCTGCCTGAACAGATGGAAAGGACCGTTGAATTTGAAGACAATTTGAAGATACTAAGAGACCTCGAAAAACTATGTAAATGCTGCTCAGAAGCTGAGAATCTCACTGGTAATGGAGATGGATTCACAATCATATTGGGGGACAACCCTCTGGAAAGGCTTGGCTTATGCATCAAAGAGGATTACGTCAATGATGATGAAGATGAAATATTGAATGGAGACTGGGAAGATGGGGAGATATCGGCATAGAGGCGGTGCCTCTGCACATTTTTGTCAATCTTTTCTTGTTCCTTGCCTCTTGTCCATAGTAGACTGCTCTGTGTAAATGCGCATCAATTTTTATCCCACCCTTTATTTGTTCATAGTGCAATAATGTATTTAACTGCATATATGTGTAAGTATTCCAGCTTGTGATATACTAAGTAGAGCAAGATGGACTCAATCGCTTCAATCTTTGATTTCAAGGTTCCAGTTATGCATATCCATCTCTACGTCCCAGAGATATGATCAGACAAGAACATTGTCTAGGATAACATGGTTTACTGCTTTTGCTGTTGCGTTAAGCCTTTAATGGAATATTTGGATAAGTATGATAGGTAACAAAACAAACTGAAATTGCCAACTGCAGCCAATTTCACAAATGATGAAGCCGAGCCACTGCTAATTGATCACCCCTCACGTCAGTGTTAAATCAATCAAATATTCAGCTGCAAACAAGAAAATAATTCTCTGTACGAACTAGGAACATTCAAACATTAATGCAAAAGTCATAGCCGAAATGCAGAACAACATTACTCCTCACCCAATATCTTAACATGGTACAGAATCAGATCCTTCTCTGTTCTTAGTTTACTCAATATTGATTTCCATGCTATATTGTTCACGCATTCATAATCTTTCATGGTAGTCTTGTTTGCTGGAAATTAAATGTGGAGGCAGAAGTTCTAGTGTTGCTTCATGTTTTGGAATGGAAAAGGCAGGTAGGTACATGTGAAATTCGAATGCCCTAATTGTGTGAAGATGGCAACGAGGCTGCGGACAATTCCCCGGAAATTTTCGAGAACTATAAAAATTGTTTTTTTTTTTTTTAAACTTTGGATCACGTACGTGAGCTCCATTTCTAACTTCTAAGTGGTCTAGAGAATCAAATAGAGTTGCGATGTAAAACTGGTAGCTACCTGACAAGACATTCAATCTTGAGAGCTTCATATTAAGTAATTATTTGCTTTAGTACACTCTTGCTAGGCAAGATCGTGTTTCGTATTATATTGATAATTATTTACAGAGTAGTTTATTTTTGCAATGTAATGGGGATAGTATCTATCCTCTTTCATTTTTCAATTACAACTAGGAACTCCTCCTTAATTATTCTTTCCAAAATAAGTAAAAGCTTTATCTATAGATTCACGCTGGAGGTTTGGTGGTTCCACTTGGGAAAAAAGACCAATATATATACATATATAATTCAAATCATTGAGCAGTTCAAGGAATTGAATAAGCAAAACGATTAAAAAGAAGAGAGAAAGAAAGCTAAGCGGAATCTATTGGTTTTGTTTGTTTTCATTGAAGAGGCCAGTTGACTGAGGCAATGGATGAGTCGCCGCCGGAAGTGGTGAACTTTGGGAAATCTCTGTTAGTTCCAAGTGTTCAAGAGCTTGCCAACGAGCACCTTACTAATATTCCGGCAAGGTATGTCCGTCCTGAACAAGAATCTCCGGCCGTATCCGATGGAACGGTGGGTCCTACAGTCCCCGTTATCGACCTGAAAAAGTTGGTATCTGGTGATTCCATGGATTCTGAGCTTCAAAAACTTCACTCGGCTTGCCAACACTGGGGTTTCCTCCAGGTTTAATTTTCTTCATGACTTGTTTAGTTATTCAATTATAATAATTTCACCTAGCATATTAAAATTTAACTTTTAGCACAATTTATTGTATTGTTCCAAAATACTTCATGTCAAAATACTTTGGGAAAAAGGTCTAAATTTATCTCTTTACTCTTGACTGTGATATAGGATTACGCTTGGTTATACTTCAGTTGGATCTCCATTAGAGTCAACTTCTCCTTTTTCTTTTCTTTTTCAGAAGGGACTTGTATTCATTTTCTCAGGAATGAAGCGTAATATCACAGTAATAGAATCTGAGATGCATAAGATTCCATGTTTTCTTCCTTCTCATTTATTGGTTGATCAATATTAACATTTTTACCACTTCTCTTGAAAATGTAGGTTGTAAACCATGGAGTGACACCTTCAATACTGGAGAACTTCAAGAGAGAGGTTATCGAACTGTTCAGTCTCACAATGGAAGAAAAGAAGAAGCTATGGCAACAGGAAGGCAACCATGAAGGATTTGGGCAGCTCTTTGTTGTATCAGAGGAGCAGAAACTTGATTGGAGTGATATGTTTTACATAACTACTCTTCCCCCTCATATCCGGCAAATGGAGTTATTCCAAAACTTGCCCTCAAACCTCAGGTGCCTCTCTCCTCGCTATCTCTCTCTTATGCCGTGGTCCCCTCTACCCCGAAGTCGTGTGCACACTGCAATACCCGTAAACCACGTTACAGCGTAACACATCCATGTCTTATTTCACCTATATCTGATGTATACTAAAGCATATGTTTACTGGAGTTACATCTTTGAAAGGAAGATGCAAAGAAATAAACACATTTGTATTAGAAAAACATATAAAGAGTCCCATTTGTCAACACTTTCAGAAAACACACCATCTGAAAAGTGGTGTATTAAGATTAGAAGCTTTCATTACTTAGAAGTTATTTTTGCCGAATGGTTGTGTCCTATCCTATTCTGTTCTTATTTACTTTTATGCATATTCTGTTTATATACTAATGGTTAGATATAAGAGATGATTCTAACACAATCTGTGGATAATCTTAGTACTCATCTTTCTGTCAAGTGGAATGCAAACATTGTGTTACTACTTTTAGATGATAAATGTGATTTGATGGTTGTATAGTTTCAAGGTGATCATGATTGATAATTTCAAAATGCAGGGATATCATGGAAGCATACTGCAATGAAATCAAGAGCCTAGGAATGATCATCCTATGTCAATTGGCAAAGGCTTTAAGGATGGATGAAAAGGAAATGAGAGAGCTATTCAGTGATGGTGTGCAGTCAATAAGGATGAATTATTATCCTCCTTGCCCTGAGCCAGACAGAACTATTGGCTTCAGCCCTCATTCTGATGCTGATGCCCTCACAATCCTTTTCCAGCTAAATGAAACTGAAGGCCTCCAAGTTCGAAAAGATGGCATTTGGGTGCCTATAAAACCACTCCCAAATGCTTTAATTGTGAATATTGGCGATATTATGGAGGTAAAACATTCTTGTTGAGTAACAATTTCTCAAAGGTTGGTAACATAGTGAAAGTTGCAATTTTAGTGTGCAATCTATAGGTTAACTTCTGGTTTATTCACCGTGTTATCATGCTTTATATATTAACTCTTTTAAAATCTTGAAAGGACTTAATTCAGACCATTGGTTTTGCGAGTTAATAAAATTACACATGATTTAAAGTATTTAACCGTTCTTTGCAAAGAGAAGAAGATGCTTTGAGGGAGGTGAAGTAGGGCAGTCTTAACATCTTCATTTTATTTGATTAAGTCAAAAACTTTCTTGTTTAGAACATATTGGAAGCTATACAAATTGGAATCAGCTCAAGACATGTCGATTAACAATAAATAAATATTACTAATCCCTTTACATGGATGTAGAACCTTATAATCTTATCTTTGGAAATAAAGAGCCCATTTCAAAAAGGATATTAGTGAAAGTATCATTTTATAATTCTATGCATGTGCAATTTTACTTGGCAGATAGTGAGCAATGGTGTTTATAGGAGCATTGAGCACAGAGCAGTTGTAAACTCAAACAAAGAGAGGCTATCTGTTGCAACATTCTATAGCTCCAACCTTGACTCGGAATTGGGACCTGCACACAGCCTCATTGGACCAAGTAGTCCAGCAATTTTCCGAAGAGTTCCCGTGGAAAAATATTTCAAGGATTTTTTTGCACGAAAACTTGATGGAAAATCGTACATTGATTTCATGAAGGAAGAGGCAAGGGATGGTGAATCCTAGGTGGCAGTTGATACTTTAGTTGGTTATTAGCTTATCTATATCCAGTGAAATATTCTTACAAGTTACTTTTGCTATTGTAATATGGAGTTCCACTGTTTGATAACAGTAATAAAGAAGAAAAAAAATATTATAATCTCTGTTTCATTATATACGACTAGTTTGACTTATATATTGACATAAATCTAAGATAATACTGTCGGAGCATTCAGTCTTGCATTGTAGTTCTTTTTGCCGGAAAACAAATATGGAGGCAGAGGTTTTAGCATTGTTTCAATGTTCAGAGTGGTATGCTGCCAATGGTTTTGATATTTGCAGGTACGTGTGAAATTCGAACCTAATTGTGAAGATGGCAACTAAGAACTGAAGAATTCCTCGGAGGAAATTTGAAAACTATAGAAATTGTCTTCTTACTTTGGATCACGTACGTGACTTCCAATTCTCATTGTTTTAGAGAATCAAAGAGATGCGGTACACCGATGGCTATGTAAAACTGGTAGTTGATGATGATACCAAAGACATATATTATATTCATAATTACTTAATAAATAAATGGCTTTGGAAGAAATTGATAAACCCAAAGCTAAATGGAATCTATAGCTAAAAGGATTCTACATATTTGGTTTTGGCTGTTTGTTTTCATTGACACATTAATACATTCAAGTTTCCAAGAGCTCAACAGGATTGTGTGAGCCAATGGAGTCACCACTGGCCGTAGTGAACTTGGGGAAGTCTCTGTTAGTGCCAAGTGTTCAAGAGCTTGCCAAAGAGCACCTAACCAAGATTCCAGCCAGGTATGTTTGCCCAGAACAAGAATCTCTGGTCATATCTGACGGAGCAGTGGTTCCTGCTGTCCCTATTATCGATCTTAAAAAAGTTGATTTCAGGGGATTCCATGGATTCTGAGCTTCAAAAGCTTCACTCAGCTTGTCAAGAATGGGGTTTCCTCCAGGTTTGACACTTACTCAATTATTCTTAGCTTTTCGCGGCCTGTTGTATCCATAAATTGAAGCTTATGTGGTTTGTAAAATACTGATTTGGAATTTCTCTTAGTTCCTAAAACCTGAGTAAAAATACTTTCCTTTGTCAATCAGTGAAACTGATATTACCTTTTCTGTCTCAACTATGTGGTATTTTTATAAATTTAAAGCCTTTTAATATATTCACCACTAGTAATATGCAACTCTAACTAGTTTCAAGAATTCTAATTCATTAAGCTATTAAAATCTAGATTTTACTACAATATTTTATCATATTGTATTAGTTTTGAAATTATTGCTTTTTCATTAATTACAGGACAGACAAGTCTAAAATATTTTTAATTTTATGACAAATATTAAGTACACTTTCTTGACATCAATCTAATTTTCTTAGTTGCATTCAGTCCTTTTCCACTTTTCTATTAAGATTCTTAACATAATTTTCATCTATTTTGCTCGAGTTAAACATCCAAGACATGATAAAACTTGGAGCGTAACACTTATCTTCAACTTTTCCCTTTTCCCCAAAGGGACTTCTATTCAACTTCTCAAGGATTAAGCATAATATCGCAGTAACGGAGTCTAAAATGCATAAGACTCCATGTTCCCTTCCTTCTCATTTTGATTTTGTTTCTGTTAGATCTAAGCTTTAACTGTGTAAGGGTTGTAAAATTTCCTAGCATTTATTTGTTGAAGTTAGGTTATAAACCACGGACTGACACCTTCAATACTGGAGGACTTCAAGAGAGAGGTCTCAGAATTGTTCAAACTTCCAATGGCAGAAAAAAAGAAGCTATGGCAACAGGAAGACAGCTATGAGGGGTTTGGGCAGCTAAATGTTGTATCAGAGGAGCAAAAGCTTGATTGGAGCGATATGTTTGGCATAACCACTCTTCCCCCGCATATCCGGAACTTGTTTCTAAAGTTGCCTTTAAAGCTCAGGTGCCGGATCTCTCCTCTCTATCTCTCTACTGAGGTCTTAAAATAATAAAGGGAAAATGTTCCAAGTTTGATCCCTCAATGGTTGGACCATTCTTGAACCAGGAGTAAGGTGCCTTTCTTTTATCCTCCTGGGACCTGTAAGAAAATAGGTAGTAAGATCTGTAAGTTAATAATTTACCAACACAAAATGAGAAGGACGAATCTGTAACTTGAGCCATAATATTCTTGTGCCTTAAGGTTGCTTGAGAATAACCGAACTTATTATTATTTACTCTTTCGCAGAAGTATTCTGAGTACGTGTGCATTGATCTTCAATCTACTACTCTCTAAATGTTTATATGATATGATTAGCTACTTTATACATTGTTGTATTGAAGGAGGGACCAAGACCCCTTTGTATAGTATTTGGAACATCGCTTGATATGGACAATACATTGATGGCCATAAAATTACCAAGTTATGGATCAATGTTCATCATAGAGATTTACTTGTAATTATCGTAAAACTTTAAAGTAACCTGAATGTGTTATATTTGTATGTCAGCGCATATAACTTAACTCTAATATACTTATGGTTAGATATAAGATTATTCTAACACACTCCGTTTATAATCTTAAAACTGATTTTTCTTTCACATGGAATGATGTGTTAACATAGCGGTGCTGTATTTCAGATCATAAATTTGATTCGGATGTGGTAAAATTTGCATGATTATGAGTATGCTACTCTGGAAATGCAGGGACATCTTGGAAGCATACTGCAAAGAAATCAAGACCCTAGCAATAATCATCCTTTGTCAACTGGCAAAGGCTTTAAGGATGGATGAAAAGGAAATGAGAGATCTATTCAGTGATGGAATGCAGTCAATACGGGTGAATTATTATCCTCCTTGTCCCGAGCCAGACAAGACCATTGGCTTCAGCCCTCACTCTGATGCTGGTGCCCTCACCATCCTTTTCCAGCTAAATGAAACTGAAGGTCTCCAAGTCCAGAAAGATGGTATCTGGGTGCCTATAAAACCACTCCCAAATGCGTTGATGGTGAATATTGGCGACATGATGGAGGTAAATAAGAATTTCTTTGTTGAGTAACTGATTTCTCAAAGGATGGTAACGTAGTGATAGCAAGTTATATTTGTGTAAATGTGTTATTTGACCTGGCAGATAGTGAGCAATGGTGTTTATAGGAGCGTTGAGCACAGAGCAGTTGTAAATTCAAACGAAGTGAGGCTATCTGTTGCAACATTCTATACCGCTAACCTTGAATCTGAATTAGGGCCTGCACACAGTCTTATTGGACCAAATAATCCAGAAGTTTTCCGAAGAGTTCCGGTGGAAAGATATATTAAGGACTTTTTTGCGCGAAAACTTGAAGGAAAATCATATGGTGATTTCATGAAGGTAGAGACGAGGGATGACGAATCCGAGGTAGCATTTGGTACTTTAGTTGGTTATTAGTTTATCTATATCCCGTGAAATATTTTTACAAGTTACTCTTGCTATTGTAATTTGGAGTTTCTCTGTTTGATGATTGTAATAGAGTAGAAAAATTAATTTGACTCTTGTATTATATTGGCGTAATGGAAGAAATATTAAAACAAAGTCGAAAAGTCAGTTTGATTGTGAAAGATTGCAGTATTAAATTTTGAATAGTATATAAATTTGAAAGTTGTTATAAAATATTGCACGTGGTATAATGTCAAACATTTTGGGATTTGCCCAAATGGAAACAGAGTAATATAAATATAAAGAGTGCTTAGATTTGGAATAATCTTTTCGTTTACTTTTAGAGTAGTTATTTAAGTGACTGACTCTATCTCTATGTATGATGATGAAATTGCATTCCTTGTCATGAGCGATATCTGTCATGTTTGGATTTTCAATTTCTAACTGTTTTAATTCTCAAACAAGGAATTGGATACAGATTAAAAAAAATCTAAGACAATTCTGCCGGAGAATTAAGTGTTGCACTGGTAGATTTATTTGTAGTGCTGCTTCATGGTTTGGATATTGGAGTGGTATTATGCTGCAAATGGTTTTTGAAAGTTGGCAAGTAACGTGTGAAATATTCAAATGCCCTAGTTGTGAAGATGGCAACTGGATTATTCCACGGATTTTTTTGAAAACTACAAAAAATTGTTTTCTTTCTTTGGGTCACGTGCATCACTACCTCAATTTGTCATTGTCTATTAACGCCGGCAAAAATTTAAATAATTTCTGTAGTAGGAGCTAGGAAAAAGCTCTGACTTTTGTTTTTTGGTCAACTGTAAAGATGGCCTAGAACAATCCTTCGTACATACTACACAGTACACATATATAATATTGTTACCATTCTTAAAAAAGAAGGAACTCAACAGGGTTGAGCGAGTCAATGGAGTATGAACATGTGTATATATTTTACGAGCACACTTACAATTTCAGATCGATCTCTATACGTTTGCTATCTAAACAACTTCTCTTAGAAAATAACTCATTAATCGATGGTCGATGGGAGAAGCAAGCTCGAGAAAGATAGGTAGCACATTGAAAGTTCCTAGCGTTCAAGAGCTGGTAAAGCAACAAGTAGCCGTTCCGCTGCGGTATATTCGTGATGATATCGAAATGCCTATGACATCATCCATTTTGCCTCAAGTTCCAGTCATTGACATGGAAAAACTGCTGGCCATTCAGAGGCTTCATTTTGCTTGCATAGACTGGGGATTTTTCCGGGTACATATATTTCAATGATCAAATGCTTTCTCATTTTAAGATTTTAAGAAATGGTCTAAATGGTTAGTGATCAGAAGTGCGGATTCAGGATTTTAAATTTTTGGGTTCTGGACTCATATGTTGAGGATTTTAAGATGGAAAAGTCTTAAAAAGAGGGTGATGAAAAATGGAGGAAAAATGAAATTTTTGAGTAAAATTTTAAGTTTCCCTCTCTTGAAACATTGTCCCATATTGGAAGAGGAAAAGACTTTTGGTGGGTATATATACAATTGCTCTTCTTGTAGCTTTTAAAGAGTTAAGAAGAAGGCAAACCTTGCGCCGTCGTCGTCGTCGCTCGCTCGGCTACGGCTACGGCTTCGGCCAAATGATTGATTGATTAATTTTTTGGACCAAATTTATTTGTTAATAGTAAATATTAACGTAATATTATCCTTGTTTGTAACGGATGTTTTCCAATCCGTGGATAGAATTCAAGTGTCCCACCAGGTCGGCCAAGTGCAAATTCCATTGTCCATTGGCA